AGAATCAAATATACAGTTCCGTACGCCAAACAGTCAATGATAAGATGGGCTAAGTTTTTTTTCCTAAGGTTTTTACATAAAGAACAAATTAATCTATCGTTGCGACGCAAAAGACTATACAGTAGTCCAGCAAACAAGATAAGTGACGAGTTTTGACACAATACAACACAACACATTTTAACATAATAACACCGAAAAATTTCAGAAAAAAAACAAAGTTTCGAAACACAGTCCTTTTAACACATTTGGCTCCGTACTAGTCACATATCATTCACATGGATCTCAAAAAAAATTATGGCCTTTAACTTTGAATCATATCGCAGGTCGTCGTAAACTTTGTCAATCGAAATGAAGAAGCGGATGTACCAGCCACAAAATCTTGTTGTTCAACAACGATAAACTTTAACTTTTTTCGCCAATACTTGCGCTTGTTGAAACAGGGAGTCGATAGGACAAAACATTTTCCATAAATCTGTCACCTTCACATCTCCTCAAGTACTCTACTCACTGAATAATTATTGGCAGTTATTGAAAAACTAACATTGTAGTTTATTCGTTAAATATTAAAGAGCGGAACAATTAGCGAATTTTGCAATAACTGCTAAGATAAAAGAAAGTAACGTCATGTAGATGAAAACGAAACAAAATAAACTTAAAACCAAAAAGTACGGAATGTTTTGTGACAAGCTACAAACGAGGAACAAATCGCAGCATTACTAATAAAGCCACCACCACGTTACCGTATTTAGGTCGAATGGGAACAACTTAGTGAATATATATATATATATATGTACACATATGTATACATACATAAACCCATATATAATGTAAATTCAAAACATCATCTATAATGTGATGTAAACAAGATACATCTTCAGGTGGTTTGCAAAAAAAGGATTCATTCTAAGCTCTATAGTCGTTTTCATCACACTGAATAAATGGCGCTGAGAAATTCGTGATGGAACTAACCGTCAATTTTAACCTTTTTTGGGACGGTTGTGCGTTAAACTCACTAGCCGATGGAAATTCAAAACTGGTGTCGAAATTGCTTACAAACGAAAATGGTTCAGACTTCCACGAAGCATCACCGGCCTTAAAAATATGGCTCTTATGAATTATCTTGGTGAATATTATGCCTTCTCAGTTACCGTTATTTAAAGCAAGCTTGAGGAAAGACGCAGAAAAAGTATCCAAAACAAGAGGATAAGGCTGAGTGTAAAAAAACAAGAAGCTACCAATTCATTACAATGAAATTTACTATTCACAGAGATGTGTTCGATTCCCGATTCATCCCATAGTAGCGCAACCCAATCTGAGGATCTCGGCATTTCTATCCGGTAACTCGGCAAAAAACGACGCTGAAAATGAAAGCGCCCCCAGTTTTGCCGAGACTACCTTTTACCCAGATAAGCAAGAAGAAAAGCGTCGCATAAAGAAGGTGACGCTCTTCGCAAAGCACAATCGAGGATGACCCTTAAGAAGTTATGGTATACTAAGGTACCGAACTACAACTTTACAGCCGCTTGCTCAAGTTTCCTAATAAACAACATGATTAGAGACAGAAACGTAACAACTAAATCCATAAAAGTAGCACCACATTTTGAGCTAGATATTACCAGAGGCTGCCAATTGTACAACTTTCGCTGCAAAACATCTTTTTCCGCCCGGCTCCTATTTCCCTGGATACGAGGTTTCGATTTGGTCCTTACTACAAACATTGCTCTCTAAAAGGCTCTATGTTGAGAATACAGTAACCAGAAAAATGCAGTGTCCTAAAATCCTCTAGAGACCAATTTCATGTTACAGCAGAATTTCACACTCGATAAACAAGCCACAAAATAATTATCGCATAAAAATCATCTATTTTTTTCCAAGTCATAGCCACATTTCTCGCTGGCACACATGATCCATCTTTTTCCTAATAAACTACTTCCAAATACAACTGGATTTTAACCAGATATCATCTTAGACACATTTACCTACTTGGATATTTGGATGGCCCGTCTTTACTGGATGTGTGGGCCACAGCATAATCTCAATTTTTCGGAGATTTGCTGGTTTACTCATTGTGATTCCCTGGAGTCTCGATGATAGCCTGGCCAAAGTCTGCCCAAGGTCATCATCACGGCGGGTAGTCGCCGCCTTTGTGGATCAGAAGATTTACCACCATGCGATTAGTTTGATACCAGGATGGTGGTGGACGCTGGTGTTGGTTTACTCTTAACTGGGCTTTTTGGCGGAAACGCCGGACTCTTTCTCAGCTTGGGAGACCCTGCTGGGGAGATGAATCCATATACATCGCAGCTCGACACCCAGGAACAGCTCCCAGCCACGATGAGGCGGTAAACCGTTGGTGGGAGACACATTTACTCCTAGCCCTAATTCCATTCATGAAGGTTTCAAAGCTATATAAACGTCCTACCCAAAAATAAACAATGGCTCTGTCAACTGATGGGTGTTTTTAGCTATTTCGACGAAATATTCCCACACAGTTTTGGCCCCACAACAGTCAAGCATGAAGATGCTGGTTCGGGCGTTGTCTGCGGCTTCATAATCTATCGCAATTCCCTAATTGACAGGGAGGGTGGGGAGGAGGAGAGAGAGAAGGAGGGAGGGAGGGAGGAATGGGGAGTTTTGCTGCATTGCCACTACAATTCTTTCAGAACGGTAAGGATCCCAAGGAACAGTTGCCAGACCAACGAAGGGCTGCATAGAAGAGCGAACCTTTTCCAGATGAATTCATATCAGAACAGAGAACAGAAGTAAGAACGACACAACCAAATATAAAAAAGTTCATTACACAAATAGTTCTCAAGCTCACGATTTTAAAAACTGTTACAGCGCAACTAATAAGGCGATTCTTAAAAATCACATCAAAACAACACAAGCAAATTTCGGATCACGCACCAAAGGCTTGCTTATCATTTGTTGTAGATAATGCGGCAGTGAATTTTCGCACGATTACTTCATTCTTAGGTATTTAATACTTTTTCAATAAGGTAACATCTCGGTATAGGCTGACGTCGGGATTACAGGGAACCACAATGACTTAACCAGCAAATCTCCGAAAAATGGAGACTATGCTGAGGCCCGAGTAACCAGTGAGTACGGGCCATTCAAGTATTAAGTATCAAGTAACATCTCGGTATTATGGAAACATAACCACAACGTTGCTGAGATATTTGCAAAACTCTGGACCGCAGGTGTCTATGGTGGGGAACGAACGCGCTATTATCCTTTCCGGGGAGTAACGCGTTCACCACCACACCATGCGGGTCCTTTGTTTCGCACGTCTCTCAGCTATTTCTATCGATCTTTTTGCCACAGCAATCACCCGTCAGCGGGGTTGATCTGGGGAGCGCAAATCGGCATAGAACCCAGTTAAGCTATGGCTGCAGTTGAAATCACAATGTTTAACGTTTTGTTTTCTGCCTTCTATAATTTTCATGGCAGGTTACTAAGCGAAATACAACCACAACGTTGCTGAGATATTTGCAAAACTCTGGACCGCAGGTGTCTATGGTGGGGAACGAACGCGCTATTATCCTTTCCGGGGAGTAACGCGTTCACCACCACACCATGCGGGTCCTTTGTTTCGCACGTCTCTCAGCTATTTCTATCGATCTTTTTGCCACAGCAATCACCCGTCAGCGGGGTTGATCTGGGGATCAATAGCAAAAAGATCGATAGAAATAGCTGAGAGACGTGCGAAACAAAGGACCCGCATGGTGTGGTGGTGAACGCGTTACTCCCCGGAAAGGATAATAGCGCGTTCGTTCCCCACCATAGACACCTGCGGTCCAGAGTTTTGCAAATATCTCAGCAACGTTGTGGTTGTATTTCGCTTAGTAACCTGCCATGAAAATTATAGAAGGCAGAAAACAAAACGTTAAACATTATGGAAACATATTCTGAAGGGAGCTATGCCACAAATTTTGTGCACTTCTGATGGACAGTTTTCCTCAAAAAATATGTATCCCGAATTGCGTTATTCAATCACAAAGAACCGTGTCATTAGAAATGGACAGGACAACTTTACGGACTGTACGTAAGACAAAAAGCAACCCAGGGGCATTTTTTTTTCTGTTTTCTCAAAACACTAATCCTCCAAAAAGCTATTTATGACTTTCCCAAGACAGCAACTTCCGCAAAATCAGTTTTTGAGGTTTTTCCTTTTTCTACCTACCTATTGCCAATTTCGTTACGGCTACTCTATTGATGTATCTTTGGCTTTTCTCTGCTTGTCTCCACATATTCTTTTTCCACTAATGGCTACTTCCTAATCATCTGCCTATACGACACCTCTCCCTCTATCATAATCCATTTTCTCTACCAGCAACATGCTTCTACCAATTTTGATAGCTCCTTTTCTTGATATCGACGTCTAGTACTTCAAAAAGCTATAAAGTGCTGAAATTCGTTATCTATAAAAAGGCACAAAGAAAAGTGGTACTCCAATTCAGCATTACGATATTACATTTACTAACACAGAGTAGTGGGTTCTCAAGGAATCCTAAAGGGAGAAGAAGTAATGGATTTTCGTCATTCAAACCCATAGAACATTCTCAAATACTCAAAACAAATTGTACAATAACTCAGATGAAAAAAAAAGATAACTGCGAAAAACCTACAGAGTTTGATAAGGGACTGGTCACATTTAAAGATTCCTGCTTTGTGAAAACATTTGTTGGCCCATTAGGGACCATCACGTATGGTAGGGGTTGTGAATATAAATCATAATCCAGAACACATCTGTAATAATTGCGATTAGTATAAACTGCATTCCATAACGAAACTGCCAAAAATCGAAATCGAAAACGTAACACGAGATATGGAAAAATAGAAGAGCAGAACGCTAACAAACTCTTTTTGTAAATGATTTGATGTACTAGAGGTCGAACGAATTCTTGTCGTGCCAGAAATTTCACTTCCCTTTTTAGCACGAGAAACCAACGACGTTATTGATTTCTGGAAGGTATCGTTCTCTTTGAAGAAATTTTTCACAGACATATATGAGAACGAGATCGTACTGTAATTACCAGCTTCTTGCTCGCGAAAAAATTCGTAACTTCAGATGGAAATCCAGATCCCTTATCAAAAACTTTGATTGATGCTCTCATCCAAGACGGGAAATATTCCCTGCTATGTTTCCCAAATCTGAACAAATGTTTGTTCATTATAAAAATTTTGCAACGAAACAAATCTATCGTGGCAACTCCCGAGTTCGTTGTATTTGTTCACTGTTAAATAATACGATGATTACGAACACTACACTTCATGTTATCGCCAAAACAAGAGTGTGACAGTGCACGTGTGGTTTTAAATAAGCTGTTCCATCTATAGCTAAATTCCCACCTACCTCTCATCCAACAAGGCAACCATCCCAAAGTCATTTACATGACGTAGCACACGCCCCAGCGCTTGGTTCACCGCGCGGTATCCCTCTGTAACATACCAGTCTTCTGCACTTTGAGTCTGTAAAAGCGCAAAAGCTTTGGTACTGGATAGAAGTTGTCACAAAACTCGAAGAACAAAAGCTCTGTACAACAGCATGTCAAACACTAAAAAGATACCATTTGGTCTTTTGCTTTGAGCTCGTTTAAGTAAAGTCGTTTTAGGTGGATTCGAATATCCATCAGTGGTGGAAAAGGTATCCCAACGACGCAAACTGCTCGAGAACACGCATCAGAAAAGTCGATACCTTCGCTCACCTAAGTTTAACATAAATTTCTAAGGAGGCCAGATAATATTAAATGAAAACAATGCGGTAACATGCACCTGCACTGGAAAAACCTCACGTATTTAACAGTACCTTTCCCCTGCAAACCGCAAAGAACATGGCACCTTTCTCATTTTGTACACCACGAGTAAATTCGGATCGTACTCGTGCCAGTTGAGACTGAAACCAACCATAGCTGGTCAAAAAATGGACAAAATTATAAAAAAAACTGCAACAACTAACCTTTTGCTTTGGTTCAACTACTACTAGCTTTGCATCAGTCATTTGTTCCCAGTAACTTTTTGAAGGAAATTTCTGGCTAGAATTTTTCAACTCCTTGAACTTTGAGATAAGATGGTCCATAAGACTATACGATGCAAAGAATACAAGAATGCCTAAAATTAGAAAGTAATAGGACGAAAACAAATGTTGCGACTTAATAACGACCGTCACCCTGAGGAACAGTTTTTGCCAATGAAACAACAGATTCAGCAATACCCACAGCATATTCGTTATTGTGTCTAAACATGTAAAAGAGTTAATAAGTAAAAATAACGAAAGTGAATCACAAGAAAACAAAGGAAAAGGAGGAGAAAACCGAAACGAAATAAAACAGAATGAACAAGATACACTTGCACCAGTTTTTTGCAAGTAGTAAAGTAGACTGTGTCCCAATGGTTTACCACTACATCGTAGCTGAGAGGTGTTCCTGGGTGTCGTGCTGCGACGTACAACGGGGGATTCATCCCCCTGCAAGGTCTCCCAAGCTGAGGAGTCCAGCGTTTCCACCAGGAAGCCCAGCTTAGAGTAAACCAATACTAGGATCCACCACCGTTCTGGTATCAAACTGGTCACATGGTAGTAAATCTCCTTCTGATTCACAAGGGCAGAAACTGCCTGTGGTGGTGGCGACCTGGCGCAGACTTTTTAACCAGGTTGACCTCGGGACTCCAGGGAAACACGACGGCTAAACGAGCAAAACCCCCAAAAGTGGAGATCGCGCTGGCGCCCACACAACTACTGAGGACGAGTCGTGAAAGTATCCAAATAGTAAAGCAGACTGAATCGTTTTATGAAAACCACATGAAAAATATCTTAAAAGATTAGCTGAATTCAATGGAAAAAGAGACTTGTTTCCTAAGAAAAATAAAACTGGGGAAAGATCAGAACTTACCTATTCTGAAAACATCCATTTAGAACTTGTTCGGTAAGTGGCGATTTATTTAAAACCGCCGCAAAAATCTGATCACTTTTAGCTACGTGCTTATTTTCGAGTGAACTGCCGAAATCCCTGTACGAATAGGTATATCCCTTATTGGGAACATTAAATGAAAGCGAAAAGTACTCACAATCCAATATTCTTGATGAAATTCGGTAGAGGAGAAAGAGTACCACTTGTTACTATAACAGTCCGCACCCCATTCACTTTCAAAGACCTCATAGCAATTGACGATGTAAAACACCAGAATTTCATGACTGTCTATAATCGATGTGTGAAATATGTTGTTTTCGCCAGAGTAATAAAGTACTGATACTAAGTTACTTACAGAAGACGGTTTGGATTCCGTCCCCTTCTCCTTCACAATATAAAGCTTAAAATCTCGAACCCTTTGTTTATAATCTACACCAATTTTCTGAAATTTTCGATCGATCTTTCCATAAACCTTAAGCAAAATTCCAATTCAAGCTGGTAAAAGTTCAACGTTGAAATAGTTACCGCATTTTTAGTAAGTGCTAAGGCGGATTCCTTCGAGAAAGTCAGAAAAACCACAGAGATGAAGTGGTTTAACAGCTCAAGGTGTTTTCCTCGTTCAGCTAAGGAGGGATTTAAATCGGCTGAAAGATAGTCAATTTGTGACTGCTGTCCTCATACACTGAAACAAATACCCACTTCCCTGCTGCAAATATTCACTTGTGTCCAACAGAACCTTACAGAACAATTCAGCCTTATCAAATGATATACCAACACTCTCAAAAGTTTCGAAGAGGACATCACCAGGAAACACCTATAATAAGAACAGCAACTTGGATACTTGGACAGCCCGTCCTCAATGGTTGTGTGGGCCCCTGATTAATCTTCATTTTTCGGAGTTTTGCCGGTTTAGCCATTGTTTCCGTGGAGTCCCATGGTCAGCATTGCCAAAGTCTACGTCGTCGCCACCACAGGCAATCGCCGCCATTGTGGATCAGAAGGAGATTTACCACCATGCGACTAGTTTAATACCAGGATGGTGGCGGATGATGGTATTGATTTACTCTTAACTGACTTCCTCATGGAAAAGCTGGATTTCTTCTCAGTTTGTGACACCCTGCTGGATGATGAACCCCCAGTTGTAACTCGCAGTCCGAAACTCAGGAACATTTCCCAGCGACGATGAGGGGGTAAACCGCTGGGAGGAGAAATAACAATATTCGAAAAGAAAATGAAAACGTAATTCTCACCTTCCCAGGAAAGCCTTCCAAATTTCGTCCTTTTTCATCATTAAAGGTCTCCTCAATTTTCACCTCAAGATCAAAGAGAATTGCTAAAGCGTAAATAGCGTAGCACACACGAAACTGAACAAAGCACTATGCTTCATATTTAATTTTTTAGAGACCTAGAAGTATTGCTGCATCGTTTATTTGAAAATAAGATAGCTTTTGTTGTTCAGCGTCCAAAACTCCACTGCCGAACGGTACCGAGGAACGATCCTAAGCAAGACTAGCATACTTATCCAGAAAACAGCTATTTTAGGCCAGTTCAATTTTAAAAAGCCAACGATTTCGCTTGCTTTCTCCTCGATTTCGTTCTGCAAGCATTGAATTGCATCCTTTAGTTCCTGAATGGCAAGCGCAATGTGAATAGATGAGATCTCCACTGACGTAACATCTTCACAGATATTCTCCTTCAAATTCAAAATGTAAAAAAAAAATGTAAAAAAAGGATAATCTATCTGCTTGATTACCAACCAAATTGTGCGCTTCATCAAATATAACAATACTTCCGGCCAAGTCGATTTTATGAAGCTTCCTCAATTGAGGATCAACGATATAATTATAGGGCAGTAACACCAATTCGGCCCTTTCTTGCACTTGACGGCAACGAAAAAATGGGCAGACCCTAAATAACGATGAAATTTAGTAAAATAAAAAACGTAAAATTCGGAATTCCATAGCATGAAATTTTGAAAAAAACTAACATCTGCTCACCTTGGCTAAAGATAACCTTGCGATTTAAATGACAGTTATTCAGTTGGATACACGGATAGCCTGTCTTCATTGGTTGTGTATAATTTCCATTTTGTCCGAGTGTTGTTGGTTTAGCCAGTGTGGTTCCCTGGAGTCCCGAGGTCAGCCTGACCAAAGTCTGCCCCAGGTCTTCACCACCACAGGCAGTCGTCGCCCTTAAGGATCATAGAGGGATTTGCCACCAACCGATTTTAATACCAGGACGAAACCTGGTATTGGATTACTCTTAGCTGGAGTTCCCGATGGAAACGCCAGACCCCTTCTCAGCTTGTGATACTCTGCTGGGTGATGAATCCTCCCGCTGTACATCGCAACCCGTCAGCCAGGAGCACCTCTTAGCTGCGATGAGGCGACAAACCTTTGGGAGGAAGTGATGAAGCGATAATTAATGATAGAAAATACAATTAACACGTATTAATTTCGCAAAGAAATTCTGCATGGTAAATGTAGTCAAAACTGAACAAATCGATATGCATTTGGGCACGAAAGAGAAAGATTGTCGTTTCACCGCCCATACAGGTATTCCAGAATAGCTCAAGAATACTAACAGTAACCAAGCACATAGTTCTGCGCTATAAGGCATAATTTTCTTATAGACAGCTCAACCACGACTTCATTGTAAACAAACAACCCGTCCACGCAAGATGAACTGAACTCGTTGTTGTATCACGAACCTAACTACAAGCTAAAATTAAGGTCAAACTCATACTCAGTGATTAGGTTACCTAACAAATGGAGTAAAAATGTAAAGGCACTTTTGAGAGAGTAACCAAGAGCTGTGGCTTTATTCCTTAATTAGACGAAATAATAAAAAGGTATAATGAAACAGCAGTTATGAAAAATAGGAAACAGTACCCATGCTTCTGTCCAGTGGCAACCATATCTTCAATATCAGGAACACTACCTCTCTCAGCGAATATATCGTTAAGGATGTTAAGTGGCGTTCCTGGAAAGAATATTCACCTGAGAACGACATCACATGTTCACAAAATGCAGTCAACCAAATGACTGTAGTTACTAAGACTAGAACTAAAGCGGCTTACTACCGCGACAGAGTATGTCACTGGAAGTACTGATAGGACAACTCACGATCCCATTTATTATAGTACTGACAAGACCGCCTTGAGATCATGCTACGGCACACAGATGTCTATAATATATAATGATGACTGATTAACACCAACGATTATGAAAGAACCTCTCCACTCGAACAAACCTTTACACGAGCATCCATCTGCTTACGAACCGAGTCATGAATGCAGAGTTGATCCCGTGAACCCAATACAGTACTTCGGATACTTAAGAAAGAGTCAAAAAACCTATAGCGGAGGAAGAAATGCTAATCTACTTACTCTTTATACATCGTTCGATTCAACTCGTGAACCACTTGTGCTAGCTGACTGTGGGTACGAGAGCAATAGTATATTCGTGGAAGAAAGGATAGAGGACCTGTAGATCCTTAAAAACACAATACTTAAGAATAAAATTGCAAAACACTATTAATAGCCACAATTAATATTTGGCAAAACTCCAAACGGCAGGTGTCTGCGGTGGGATCGAACACGCTATTACCCTTTCCGTGGGCTAACGCGTTACCACCACACAATGCGGGTTCTTCGCTTTGTCTTTACACCATTGACAGCGTAATATTCAGAAGTGCCAAGGTCTAGCTGCGATGTACAGCGGCGGATTCATCTCCCGCGGGATCACCCAAGCCGAGGAGTCCAGCGTTTCCACCAGGAAGCTTAGCTAAGAGGAAACCGATACAAGAATCGCTCAGCGTCCTGGTGTCGAATTAATCGCTGAAGGCAAATATCCTTGTAATACGCGAGGACTGCGACTGCTTGTAGTGGTGACGACCTAGAGCAGACTTTGGTTAAGCTGACCTCGGGACTCCACGGAAACACAATAGCTAATCCAGAAAAACTCCGAAAAGTGGAGATTGCCCTGAGGCCCACGCAAACAGTGAGGACGGGCCGTCCAAGTATCCAAGTAGGTTTATTTAAAAGTGATATTAACGAGTTACCACTAGCGATTTGTGTAGCATCCTGCAATGTAGGTATAAACGACGATTTTTGCTTTTGTAACCATCCTAACGTCGAACAAAGCAGTGATAAGGTTTTACCCGTTCCAGTTGGAGACTCCAATACAGTGTCAAACTTCTGAAACAAATCAATTCAAACTGACACTGCCTACTGACTTTTAGAACATACATAAAAGATGCAGGATTAAGCCTTCTGCTTTGATCAGTTTTAGGGATGCACCATGCATTTGACCTCATTAGTCAACGTTAGGATTGATTTCAAAGCAAACATGTCCTACATAATGACTTATAGCGGCACACCTATCTATCAAGTCAGTGCTACTGTCGTGGAAGACAAGTATGATACCAATTCGGGGTACCCGGAGGATGGAAGGCCTGGTGAGCCAAAGGTGAGGGATGGAATCAACGACTGTGTGTTTGTTCCCGAGCACCTCCGGCTACTGCGCTACACGCGTGCTTTTAAAATAGACTTGTAAAATAAAAACCAATTAGAAAACATACCATATCGATGGCCTCAATTACTTTATCCATGTACGCTAACTGACATTCGTAAGGACAAAACGGAAACATTATATCAACTCCACGAATATTTACAACTGCCATCGAGAAAATTTGAGCTGAAACGATATCTTATGAAATTCATCCAATAGCGTTAACAAATTATATGAAATAAGTAAAATGCTAGATGCAAAGATGCTAAAAAAAACACCACAAAAGAAGTATGAAGGACAAAACATGAAAAAGATCAGACTTCCATCACTCAATTACTAGTAAATCCCTCGAAAATACCGATTGGCGCCGCCGACATTTCAACACAACACGGGTGCGAGAGAAAGTAGAGCGCGATTGCTGCTTCATCTAACGACGATAATACGACGGCGTGGAGAACGAGAATATAGACAGTCTAATGAATATTCATCGCCATATGAAAAGGCTAGGTTACGTGTAGCACAGTGGTCGGAGGCACCCTGCAATAGACATGGAAGCCATGGTCTTCTAAGCCTTCCATCCCTCCTTGGTCGGCAGTTTGGTACCATTCTTGTTTGGGAGGATAGCAGCACTGGTTCGATATATCGGTAGACCACCGCAGGTCATTTTAAAGGCTAGATATGCAATCAATCACCTACAAACGATGCTTAATAAAGTTGAAAGCATGGCGCATCCCTCAGGGGTTTGTCAACACGGAGAGATTCATCCCTTTTTATCCTTTATCCCATTGCGAGTATACCGCTTTAGGTGAAACGGGCTGAAATGGAACGAACGGCATCTGGGAAAAGGTGCCTGGGTTTATCGTAAAAGCTATAACCATCCATGCCATGGATCTTCCTCACATGAGTGATCTCAAGCCAGTTAGTCGCGAGGCTGCGTCGCGCGTCCTCAGGGGGCGGATAGGGAGTTAATCGCGGACCAAAAGCGACCTTTGCTTCCCTAAGACGCAGGTTGATCCAAGGGATGGACTCCCTGTTTCTGCTGCGCTGATTTGGCACATACTTTCTGTATTTGCTAGGCGTATTCATGCATGCATGCATGTGTGGATGCCTTCTTGCTTATGCGGATTGTACTCTACGAGTCAATTCGGCCAAAAGTCTGCAATTAAGTGAATGGGAAGTATATGGGAAGCGGTTAGGAGTCGCCCCCAACAAATAAGCTCCATGTCCACTTTGGGAGAGCCTAGCAAGCTACCCGTGAGCATACCCAGTCCCCACGTTCAGAGCCCAGCAAGCTATACGTGAGTATCAAAAATGCTAAACACAGTAAAAAAAAAAAACGGACCTTGTTACCCTGACCCCGAAAGAGCCCCCAATTTCACAGCATTGGGTAGGACGAGTACGGAGAGGCTGCTAGTATCCCAGGGCCAATGGAAGCTGCCTGGATTTCAAAGAGCTATGGTGACGACCTGTACCTACAATGCACGTACACTAGCATCCGAGTCCTCGATAGAAGACTTGCTCATCCAAACATGAAGGATAAGGTACGACGTCATCCTCCTGGCCGAGACGAGAAGGCGGCAGCCTTTCAACGCCGCCTATGACACCGGAGAAGAAGTGTACCTCGGAACATGCGACAGTAGAGGAGTCGGCGGCACCGGCGTTCTCGTCAACACGAGTTTGTCCATGAACATCGATTCATTCGAACAACTCACAACCCGAATCGGACGTTTACGATTAAAAACACGTAGATTCCGACTTTGACAATCTTCGTCGTTTACGCGCCGACGTCACGCTATAACGATGAAGAAGTCGAAGCGTTCCATATGGACTTGGAGAAGTTCTACAGAGAAGATCACACATTCTCCAAGGTGATCATTGGAGATTTCAACACCAAGATTGGATCAAGAACGTTTGACGGACGTCACATTGGCACCAAGGGATTAGAATGGAAGGAACAGGGTGAGCGGCTATCTGAGTTCATCATGGCGACCGAAACCATTCATGGTAATTCGCAATTCCAGAAGCACCACTCTCAAGGCTGGACGTGGGAGTCTTCCAATGGAGAGTACCATAACGAAATAGACCACATCATAGTAAATTGAAGGTTTTGCCAAACCGATGTCGCTGTTGCCCCAAAATTCTACACAAGATCAGACAATCGTCTCTTTCGTGCAAGATTCTATTTCTCGCGGAAAGGAGAAATAGCAGCTAAATTCAAAACCGAAGCTCCAGAACCACCGTAAACTGAGATTTATTCAATTCATTAGTCGGCTGCTGGGAAGATGCCGTTGCCGACAACATCGACGAAGAATGCGATCGGCTCATTCAACAACTTCATGCTAGCGCTGTGAAAGCTCAGAGTTCGAAAGTCACCAAGAGACGTCTAACTCCAGAAGCACTCGAGCTGATACGCCAGCGTGGAGCTGCAGGTGACGGCGAACTAAAGTCCGAACTTGCAAAACAATGCAGAGAGGCGATAAAAAGAGATCGTAGAGAGAGAAGAGCAGCAGTAATGTTCGAAGCTGCAGAGGTTGGGAAAAGGATTCGCAAAGCCCACCGATGCTTCGCTAATTACAAGTCCAAAATGATTACTCTCCGGTGCCCAGACGGAACAGTGACAGCGTCCAGAAAGGCAATGCAGAAAATCGTTCACGAATACTACTTGGATTTCTTTGATAGCCATGTCCAATTTCCGTCATATGAAATAAAGAAGGATGGATAAGTTGTACCACCGGTTCTCCCTTCCGAAATCCCACATGCCATTTCGTCGGTGAAAATCGAACAGCACCAGGTCCGGAGAGTACAAGACCAGAACCTGCACGATATCGGCAACTATCGCCCAATCTGCGTACTCTCTGTCGTCTACAAACTTTTCACTAGAGTCATCCTAAAGAGGATTGACAGAACACCACACGAAGAACAGCCATGTGAGAAAGCAGGGTTTCGAAGAGGTTTTAGTACGATGGACCACATCCACACGGTAACAAGGCTCACTGAAGTATCGCAAGAGTACAAAAGACCGTTCTCTCTCACTTTTATCGATTTACAGAAGGCCTTTGATTTAGTTAAGACAAAGCGGTGTTGAAAGTCTTTTATAGTCAACGAGTCCCTACTCAGTACATAAAGATTCTTTGTGAGCTGTACAAAAATTTTATAACAAAGATATCACTATTCTACAACGATATTAACATTGACGTCAAAAAAGGAGTCAGGCAAGGCGATACCATCTCGCCAAAATTATTTATCGCCACCTTCGAGAACGTCATGCGAAGATTGGAATGGGACAACATGGGACTAAAAATCTATTCCCACGACCGACTTTCTATTAACCTCGGCATTGATCAAGTAATTCTTCGTATTTTTGTTGAGCAAACGCGAGGTGTTATTATTCTTTATTCACGAATGAGCTCATTCGTGAATAAAGAATAATAACACCTCGCGTTTGCTCAACAAAAATACGAAGAATTAAAAATCTATTGTCTGCAGTTACACCATCTTCTCTTTGCTGGCTATATCGTTCTTGTAGTACCAAATATTAGTCAAGCGGAAAAAATGATTGACGACTTTGATAAAGCCTGTGGAAAGATTGGTCTTCGCCTAAACCTCACGAAAACGATGTTTATAAAGAACGGATTCGTTTCGCATACCCCATTCACGTTCAACGGAACGAACATCTCCGAATGCTCCAGTTGTATCTATCTAGGTCGGGAAATCAATATGATGATCAACCTAGCTCCAGAGCTGAGCAGAAGGAAACGAGCGGCTTGGAGAGCATTGAAGAATATCGAGGAAGTAGTGAAGAGAACAAAGAACACCCGACTCCGTGCTCACCTTTTCGACTCAACGGTACTTCCTGCGCTAACATATCCGTCAATAACCTAGTCGCTGCGTAAGCACAATGAAAGATCACTCAGCGCATTTGAACGCGCAGTCGAAAAGACGATGCTAGGAGTACTCCGTTTCACATAAGTAAGGGGAGCGATTCGAAACTCCGACCTGCCTCAACGATCAAAAATCAATGGTGCCGTTCCGTACGCCAAGCAGTCGAAGATATGGTGGGTCAGACACGTAATGCGTATGAGTGACAAGCGGTGGACAAGAGCCGTTAGTGACTGGATTCCTCGGGATGTCAAACGTACTGTGGGAAGATCAGCGACCCGAGGGCAAGAGTTCTTCACGAAGATAAATCACGATGTTAAATAGTAACAATACTAGTATAAAGGCACTAGAAACAGTAGTAATATTACCACAACGTTGCTGAGATATTTGCAAAACTCTGGACCGCAGGTGTCTATGGTGGGGAACGAACGCGCTATTATCCTTTCCGGGGAGTAACGCGTTCACCACCACACCATGCGGGTCCTTTGTTTCGCACGTCTCTCAGCTATTTCTATCGATCTTTTTGCCACAGCAATCACCCGTCAGCGGGGGTGATCTGGGGGGCGCAAATCGGCATAGAACCCAGTTAAGCTATGGCTGTAGTTGAAATCACAATGTTTAACGTTTTGTTTTCTGCCTTCTATAATTTTCATGGCAGGTTACTAAGCGAAATACAACCACAACGTTGCTGAGATATTTGCAAAACTCTGGACCGCAGGTGTCTATGGTGGGGAACGAACGCGCTATTATCCTTTCCGGGGAGTAACGCGTTCACCACCACACCATGCGGGTCCTTTGTTTATCTCAGCAACGTTGTGGTTGTATTTCGCTTAGTAACCTGCCATGAAAATTATAGAAGGCAGAAAACAAAACGTTAAACAGTAGTAATATTATATTTCTGGTGGTAGAGCTGGTTAGAAAACTAGCTGAGGGAAACGCAGAGCAAGGCCCTGTATGGTGCACTGTGTAACGCGGAAGCCCCTAGAAAAGGAAAACATGGTTCGATCTGGCCCGAGGAACAAGTTTTGGGAATATCTCAGCATCGTTTTGATTGAGTTTCAAATCATACCTCTCCGTGAAAAGTTATAGAAGGCAGAAAATGAAAGGTTAACAGTAGTAATATTCTCCAAAAAATACGGTATTTCCAGTGAAATACTACATGATGGGTTCTACTGGAACAATGTGTAGGCTCTTCGTCCTGCAAGCGTAGAAATGTGGTCTATGCTGTATGAGGAACCACGATTTTGGACGCAATATCCTGTGAAATTTTGTTGTTACTAGCTTTTGTCCAGAGATTGTCATTAGGATACATCATGTGCCTTGTTCATCCAAATTTCAAAATTTTTCCATATGTGATAGCGTCATCCGACTTTGATCTGGAACACATGGCGGAGGATTTCGGATTCTGCTTCTAACTAACGTAATACCTCGTACTTCTAGTATCAGCTTCTTTATAACAACCTCGAAAATTCTGAGCGCCTTCTTGTTCCGCTTAAATGCTGCATAGGCGCTTGAAAGTTGGATTAAAGTAACAGGAACGTGGAATTGAACAGCACTACGCCAAGGTGATGGTCCTTTTCGCTGTTAACTACCACCCGATAGTCCTGCAAGTGGTGAAACTCGCCGCTCCCCTACTTCAGTTCAGTTAAGAGACTGAGCTGTCGACCATATGTACTGCTTATGCAGTCATTACTTATTGGATACCTAGATGGCCTGTCTTCACTGGTTGTGAAGGCCCCATCACAATCTCCACTTTCTTGAATAATTGCTAGCTAAGCCATTATGGTTCTCTTGAATCCTGCGATCAACCTGACATAGTCTTCCTCAGGTCGTTACCACCATAGGCAGTCACCGACCTTGTGCATCAGAGGGAGATATGCCACTATGCGTCTGGTACAAAGCCAGCATGGTGGTGGATCCTGGTGTTGGTTTCCTCTTGACTGGAATTCCTCATGGAAACGCCGGAATTTTGCAAATATCTCAGCATTACAACAGTTATATTTCGCAAAACACCCTGCCGTTAAAAAGAATAGGCAGTAAATTAAATAAAAAGGTTAATATTGTGATTATAACTATGTCGTCAGCCAATTCGGTTCAATGAAAGTTTGGGCTCCCCAGATCAGTCCCGTTTACGGTAGATTGCTGTTGGCAAAAGATCGATAGAACTAGATGAGAGACAGGGACAACAAAGGATCCGCATGGTGTGGTGGTGAATGCGTTGCTCCCCGGAAAGGACAACAGCACGTTCGTTCCCCACCGCAGACACCTGCAGTCCGGAGTTTTCCAAATATCTCAGCACCATCTTGGTTGTATTTCACGTAATACCCTGCCGTGAAAAAATTTACTAGGCCGCAAGTATAGTGTTGACCTAGTCTCTAGTTGTTCAAAAGTTTCTCGTGCATTTTTGCGTTAATTGCGGACTGTTGCTCTCAACTGTGAAATCAAGTTGCAACATGTTAAGAATCATCCGTGCGGCACCTTCGACGCGGTCCTGTATAGGGCGCGCCTCCTAATTGCGCGGTTATTCCCGCGCATCTCTCGGAGACGACCGCTTGCCCCTCACCCTGCACCCCGTCCCCATGTCTACCTTTCGCGATGTCCATATCTCACCTCATCCTTACATTGCCTTAACGATGGGTTGGTTGCAGAAGGTTCTGTTCTTATCACCATATACCTGTTCTCCGTCCTCTCCCGTCATATTTTCTTTGCATGTTGGTATCGTAACTGTTCGTACGTATATTTTTTTGCTATCATAATATCTTTAAGATTCGGCGATTATTTAAACATAAAGGTTTTATCTCTTGATAGTGCATCCTGAGACCTAGCTATCGCATTCGCTCTAAACATCACTGTTTGATGACCTCTAAACTTTCACGATTTAAAGTTCGTTTCTTCTCTTTCTTAGTGAAAAGATTGTTTTAGAACAATTTGCAATTAAGAATTAATTCATTTCATCTGCTGTTATATAGATAGGGTTCACACCTACTACTTCTATTCAGTTGCGCAGCTTGTTAAGAAAACGCATCGTGTTCAAATGGAACATACTGACAGACGCTGCTGGTGGAGCGCAAGCGAAAATACCTTAAGCTAAAAAATAGTTGTTTTCTCTCATTGAAGCTTTACAATATATCGCTGTTCATTTAAACTTTGTACGAAGTAGTGTTCAGTAAATGACTACTCTAAACTATTCGTCTACAGCATGCTATACACAAATCAAGATGAACAACGTGATTACATCACCAATTTATTCATCTGTTGAAGAATTCGCCTCAAGTACAGTTTAATGACACAATCCCTTATCGCCTGTATCATCTGTCACCTGTAGTCTCGCTCGTTGTCAAGTGACTCTAGCGGACGCCAGCAAATCTTCCATTTCTCCTTGTCCCGTGTAGGAGTAGGCCAGTGGGTTCTGCTCGCTTTAAGGACTCGTCGGTCATCATATCTTTCTTCAAATCTCATTGTGAAAACTCTAACCATCGGGTCGGTGGTTCTCCTGCAGTGCGTTTGACATCTCGAGAAGTCCAGTAACTTACGGCTCTTGTCCATCGGCTGTCATTCATACGCATTACGTGTCCGGCCCACCTTATCTTCGACTGTTTGGCGTACAGAACGGCATCTTTGTTTTTTGATCGTTGACGCAGGTCGGAGCTTCGGATCTCATCTCTTACTTGAGTGGAACGGGTTACTCCTAGCATCGTGCTTTCCACTGCGCGTTTGATAACGCTGAGTGACCTTTAATACTGCTTACGCAGCGACCAGGTCTCTGATGTATACGTTAGCGCTAAAAGTACCTTTGAGACGAAAAGGTGGGCAAGGAGTCGAGCGCTCATCGTTCTCCTCACTAGGTCTTCGATGCTCTTAAAAGCTTCCTAATCCGCTCGTTTCCTTCCGCTCAACTCTGAAGCTAAGTCGTTCATCATGTTGATTTCCTGACCTAGATAGAAGTAAATAGAGCATTCTAAGATATTCGTTCCGTTGAGTGTTAATGACGCATACGAAACCAATCCGTTCCTCATGAACATCGTTTTTGTGAGATTTAGTGGAAAACCAATCTTTCCACAGGATTTATCAAAATCGGCAGCATGTTTTCCGCTTGACTAATGTTTGGTATTACAAGGACGATATGGCCAGCAAAAAGGGGATGGTGTAATTGTCGACTATCGATTTTCACTCCCATGTTATCCCACTCCAATGTTCACATGACGTTCACGAGGGTAGCGATAAATAATTTTGGTGAGATGATATAGCCTCGCCTAATCACTCTTTTGACGTCGATGTTAGTATCGTAGTAGAACGGTGACATCTTGATTATAGAATCTTCGTATATCTCACCAAGTTTTTTTTTTATATACTGAGTAGGGAATCCCTAATTATCAACGGCTTACATGAGTGCTTCTTTCTCTTCTTCAGATGTTCAGATCACATCCTTTCCGAACCTGGTGCTGTTCGAATTTTCACCGACGAGATAGCACGTCAGATTTCCGAAGGGAGAATTTGTGATGCAAAGACACGACATATCCAACCTCCTTTATTACACATGTGGGAAGGGCGACATAGCTATTGAAGAGATCCGAGCAGTATTCGAGAATAATTTTCTCCATTACCTTTCTGGACGCTGAAGTTGTTCCGTCTGGGCGTCGGAGTGCAATCGTCTTGGTCTTGTAATTGGCGAAGCTTTGGTGGTCTTTGCGAATGCTTTTCTCGGTCTCTGCAGCTTCGACCATTACTGCTGCTCTTCTCTCTCTAAGATTTTCTATTATCGCCTGCTTGCAATGTTTCCCATGTTCGGACGTCAGCTCACGGTTGCTTGCAGCTCGAGTGATTCCACGCCCGCGCATCAGTTCGAATGTTTCAGAAGACAGACGTCTTTTGGTGATTTTTGAGAACTCAGCTTTCATAGCGCTAACGTGAAGATGTTTAATGAGCCGATCGTATTCTTCGTCGATGTTATTGACAACGGCATCTTCCCAACAGCCGACTAATGAATTGAATAAATCCCAGTT